GCCCTTTCTTGTGGATGGAGCACACAAAATCTCTACTGGCCTGGGCCGCTAGCCTGGGCCCCCCTAGGCTCTGGTGTGCTGGGGAATGTGGGGAGGGTCTTTCTCCTTCTCAGTCAGGGGCCACGTCAGTGAGGGCTTGGGGTTTTTGGTTAGCTTCTCACTTGTGTGCGGCCCCCGAGTGGTTTTTCTGTGGATCCGCCCCCTACCTCCTAAAAAGGTTCCCCGCCCCCGGAGTTTGAAGGTAAGTTTGGGATAGAACATTAGGGCCGTGTCTACACTGGGCCACTTATTCCGGAAAATCAGCCGCTTTTCCGGAATAAGCTGTGAGCTGTCTACACTGGCCCTTGAATTTCCGGAAATCAGAATGCTTTGTTTTGTTTGCCAGGGGATTCAGTAGGCTGAGGTTTCTGCACTCAAAACCTTGAACTAGGGTTAACTTTTTGTTATTCTCTGGTGACAGGATCATGATAACAGCTGAGACTCTCGTTCATTCCATCAAAATGAGCACACCAGCAAGTAACTCTCTTGGTCTGGGATTCTCACATTTGTAGAACATTGGCCACTCCTCCTTCCATTTGCCATTAGGCAGCCTTTCTGCATTGAGGGCAGGGGAATGCCTGCCTCCATGGTGTCCTTGCCCTATTCACAGTAAGTCTCCTACACTACGTCTAGACAATGGCACTACCTCAACATACTGAAAGCATCCTGAAAGAGCAATTCCATGTTTTTAAATGCACCTGTTATTTCGAAATATATTTCAAAATAACGGGTGCTCTATCCACAAGGGTTGAGGGACATTTCAGAATAGCTCTTTATTTCAAAATTACCTTTGCAACGCTTCTTTCGAGGTAAGGGTGCTGTGTAGACACACCCCTAATGTGCATCTGAACTGGGAGTGAATGCCTTAAAAGCAGGTCTGGTAGAGATGACTTCAGTTTATAACGATGACTCTTGAAGAATTTTTTTTAAATAGAGCCATTACCTTCTTTATGCTCATGATGTATAATGAAGGCCTGACAAGCTTATTTCTATCTTAGAAATACAAGGAATGTCAACTCTGGACTCCCCTAGTTTTGTAGGTTGGTGGCTTGCCATGGGTTTCACTCTATTCACACCACACATGCAATTCCCAGCGTATCACTCATAACCACTGTGGTGCTTTCCGTTGCTTGAGCCACTTTTAATCCAAGAGTTTCAAAATATGACCCGCACGCCATCCAGCACATGATGGATCTTTAATATCACTACTTCTATTGCAGCAGTGCTTAGAAACCCTCGCCGTGCCCAAAGCAAGCCACTGCAAGGGCAAGACCAAAAGACAAACACTGCCCTATGAACTCACATGCCCGGCCAGCGTTAAGGTTGCCAGAGGTTGTAACCAAGATCAAAATGCTGTAGCGCAGCAATTTAGACTCGCCCTCAGCCTGTTCCTCAGGCCTCCTAGGACCGGGGACAGCAATTTTCAAGAAGCAGCACTTTGCAGTGGTGTCAGAGGCACATGGGGGCAGGGTAACACTGGTCTGCATTTTCACTCAACCTGCTTAAAGGGTTAGATGTGGGGTGGGCAATGCATTTCGATGGGGGAGGCCATTCTGAGAATTTGGAAAGTGGTTGAGGGCCACACTCTTCCATATTAATAGATGAGGTGCAAAGGTCTGGGATGGAGGTTGGGTGCAGAAGTGGGCTTGGGCTAAGGGAGGGAGTCTGGGTGAAGGAGGCAGTTGTGACCTGGGGCACTGGACTGGGGTGCAGAGGGATGGATTGTGACCTAGGGCACGGAATTGGGGTGCAGGGATTTGGGTTGTAAGCTAGGGCAGGAGGGGACTGTGATCTGGGACAGGGGATTGGGGTGCCAGATCCCCAGTTTGCCTGGAACTGGCCCCCAAGGCTCAGGGCCCCCCCCTCCCCCAGCACTGGGGAGCCCATGCTAGTGCTCCAGCTGCTGCCCCTTCTTGTGGA